CCCGGGGACAAACGTACACCGCAAACCGGCAAGGAAGGGTCAAAAAAGGAAAAACCTACAAACCCATCCAGTCTATGCTGTAAATTGTCAAAATTTTGGCCAGTTTATTTTGGGTTTTCCCCCTTGGGAATTATAAATTTTTGGGTTTTAGGAAAGGGGCCCAAAGGGGGGTAAAAGTGCATACTTTTTTCACGGCAGTGCACATTAAAAGTTTTGCATGCATCAGACGGTTGCATCCACACGTTTGATTTAACTTGTGCATCCCACGTTGTGCATCACACGGTTTTCATCAGACTTGTGCATCAGACGGTGTGCATTCAGGACGTTGTGCAGCAGACGTTTGCTCAGACGGTGTTGCATCAGAGAGTTGTGCTCCACGATTGTGCATCAGACGTGTGGGCATCAGACGTTGTGCGCAGCCGTTGGCATCACACGTTGTGCATCCCACGTTGTGCTTGATACAACGTTGTGCAGCAGAACGTTGTGCATCAGACGTGTGCATCGACACGTTGTGCATCAGACATTGTGCATCAGATGTTGTGCATCAGAACGTTGGTTCCCCTTCGGCTGCGGGGAGAGGACGGGTGGGAGTTGTATTTTTTCCGCTATTTGTGAGTATCGAAACGGACTATTACTGTGGGTTCCATCACTGGTTAGGCGATGTAGTTTTTTTTTTTTTCTTTGGTGGGAGCTCAATTACACTAAACAGTCCGTGTGCGGACATCAGCCATTTCGCAAAACTCCTCTGGCGACCACGACGCAGCACAGACAGAAGTGACTGTTGTTTTGTTGTGTTATGAAGGTGGTGGTGGTAGTGGTAGCAGTAGTACTGGGAAACTGGATGGGGTGATTGTGGTAGCTGTTAACACTGGCCCACATTTCCTCGCATTGACAACATTAATGCTTATCCATCCTGTCTCTTCTCTGGGGATATCGGAATGCAAAGCTGGAGCTGAGTTATATATTTTGTCAGATGATGACATTTCGCATCCTTTTGGCGAGGGTGATATGATTAGTGGGGGAAGAAAAGCGGGGGGAGGGGGGGGCGTGTTCACCATTCTGGGCCACAGCAACGTGTGGCAGGTCACAGCTAGATATATATATATATATAATATATAATATATATATATATTATATATATTATATTTATATATATATATATAGATATATTATATTATATATATATATACATATACATACATAAATATACACACCACATTATCATTATAGACATATATACATATATTAATATTATATATAATATATATATATATATATATATATATATATATATATATATATATATATATATATATACAGACATATACATACAAACATATAATATCTCGCACTGCACTTGAGCTGACAAGGTTGACACGGTATGTTCCACTTGTTCCAGTAAAGGATGACAGTCCAAGAATTTAATCCAGAAGCTTTTGATGCGAAATGAGTCAATGTTTAGATTTTATTTCTGCTTTTTTTTTTCCCAGTGTTAGTTTTCATTATAAAGTGACTATATAATGGATATCTTTAATTGATATGACGGAATTGTGGTTGGTGGGCATACCTGCTTCTGGATCTTCCTAGCATGCTTTTCCTGAATCAGTTACAATTGCCAATGTGTGTGTGGTGTGTCGGTGTTCTCTAGCAGCAGAAGGAAAGCTGCAGTGACGCATCCACCGCCATTCTTAAGCTGCGATGTTAGTGGTATCATGTGGTTAGGCTCCGCTGCACCAAAACGTTCGGACACCTCAGACAACAGTATGACATTTTGACACTCTTAAACGCTATCCTTACACCATAAAAATTCGGCCTGATAAGAGTAGGAAAAGGGAGTTTCAATTTTCCGCTCATGATTGGGTATTAAAAGAACTGGGAAGCAGCTAAAGCAAACCAGAGTAATGTGGATATTAGGCTTCAACTTCATCATCCAATTAAAGCTAAAGTTCATCCTGTGGATCTTGTGAGGCATAGACTTCAGTAAGATGAAGACGTGCTTTCTATAGGGTAAGTCATGTTATTGACTATGTTAATTTGTGGACGATTTCCATTTGGATGTTGTTTCTAGATGTTTCCACGCAAATGCAGATGTTTTTAGATATTTTTGACATCCGTTTGGATGTTTTGTAAAAAGAGAGAATGGCAAACAATGTCCTGAGTCCTGTGGGCCAGTGTCGCCCACTTGGATCTTTTATATCCAAATTTAGATCTTTTTTATGCATTTAGATACTGGTTTTGACTTCTAGGATCGTCAAATAGTTTTTCTCTGATGCTCTTCTCATATGGAGTTAGATATTGTAGAGGTTTGTTCTTTTCTTTCATTGTCAATCAATAAATTACTGTGTAAAATATTTACTACAATATGTTGGTTTTGGTCTGGCACGCACATTGTGTAATGTGACAACTGCCATTATTTTGTGAACTTTGAACTCTCACTGGGTGTCAACGCACAGGATATCGGGCCTTTCCCGGTACTCAGGATAATAAAAACGCTCGTAAAAAATTTCCATATAACTTTGTTTTCAACACCGTATCCGCAGCTGCACTGACTTTGCGTTTCTTTGTCATGTGATTTACCCAAAAAATATTGCTCACCTTCTTAATGTGGCCTTTCACTTTGAAAAAACCGTTTCACATGCCAAAAGTAAAGTATGGCAAAAACTTTGAAAGAGTGGTTGCATGATGACAACATTACAAACTGCGAATATGGGTACTTGAATTATACTTACCCCCCCCTCTGAACGTCAGGACAAACCGTCATGCGGAGTACATTCCCAATAACTTCCTAGGGTCTTCAGGTTGTCGTTTCTCGCGGTTTGGTCTACCCCAAACCCTAACCCTCTACGCCAGCAACCAGAAAGAAGTAGATGAAAATTCATAACACAGCAGCACACAACAGGCACACTTGACCCCCTTGCAATAATGGACTGGTCACCTGTGGTAATTTCCCCTGGAATTTTCGTGTTTGGGGAACTTTATAACTTACGAACCGGGAATGACCAAAGTGTGTTGTAAGTACTACACAGTGTGAAATGATAAAGCGAAAAACAAACGCAAAGACGCATACCGATACTAAAAAAGCATCAAACTGCCAGTTTCATTTAAAGATCTTTACATCCGATGACATTTGTTTTCAGAACTATACTGCGTAAATGAATCATACAAAAGTTGAAGTATCAGATCGCAAATGTTGTATATTTGTCATCGGCAGATTTCAAACTGTGACCATTTTGATCGATTTGTAAAAATTTTTGGACTAGTTCAATGTGAAAACGTGTGATGTATACCAGTCTAGTTTAGTGAACTGAAGGACCTTTATAATTAGCAACACGAGTTAGGCTTTGAAGACTTTGGCTGTAATTGGTTACTGATAATGCCCCCAGTGATGGTTTTGGGTATAACAAAGGCGTTTATGCCAAGTTTGAAGGTAGCTAACAATCGTTAATACTTATAAAAAATGTTTGCGTCATTCAGTTTCAACTATCATTCATCATGCTTCATCTAAATATTACCAAGGAATATTGGAATACCTTATTATGCGGAAACACTTTACTGGCTTTTCCCAAATCATTTGTCAGACAACAGCAAATTACAATACATTTATAACAGCTTGAATTATGGTTCCACACCACCGAAAATCTGTCAGATTGCCAAAACAGATGGTTATCAATTTAACCAGCACTGTGAAAGAATTATGAAGCAATGCGTCTAAAGTTGAAGCCACACTTTGAACTAACAAGACAAAAGTGAAAAGTGCTACACAGCTGAAATACTATCAGTGGAAGATTTACAGTCAATGAACAAAATTGGTCAGAAGTATCTTTTTACAACCTATTAATGGATGGATGCAAAAAAGTTAATAAACTTTGTCGAATCTAACGTGTGATAAGTTAATTACTGCATGATCTCACCTTGCTAATTTCACTCGGTAAAAGACTGGTGTTGTTAACTTCTAAAGTGATTTGCTCACTTGCACTATAGAGAAGCTAGTTGGCCCCTAAGGCCCACACCTTAATGATATAAATCGTAAATCCAAAATTTGATGATTTAAAAACAAAAGGACTGTTAACAGAGGAATGAAGAGAAAAAACTTAAGAAAACGCATGTCAAAGAGTTCCTTAGATCATAATTGAAGCAATGAAAGCAGCGGACTTCTTTTTCATGAAATCTAGATGTTTTGAAAAATATTTCACACTTTTTCTGTGAGCAACATACTCGTCATCCAAGAATGGCATACTAAATACTGTAATAAATTATGAAATTTTTAACGGGCGACTGATCCTAGTTTCGCGGCAAGCAGAATATCCAGTTAACCTAAATAAATTGTAGCTGAATTGACAAACAAAAACAGAAACTAAAGCGTTTTGGAGTGAAGGGAGCCAATTTAATGATTGCCTCATCAACACCAGTCCATTCTGTAAGCTCTTTACAGTGCCAGTTCTGCCATGATACTAACCCCACTCAAAGGCTGACGTAGAAAGAGATTTCAGTTTAGCGAATTATATCCAAATCATAACCTAAAAAAACAGGATAAATTTTGATCTTCTTAAATGCTTATCGTGTCCATTAAAATTCGGAATGATGGACTAGAAGAATTTTGAACAAGCTAAAGCATAACATGGTCCATTTTGGATCTGAAGCTTCAACTTTCATTGCCCAAGCTAAGTTTATCCTGTGGAATCTTGTGAGGCAGACATCAGTGAAGGTGATGACATGATTATGTAGGGTAAGTCATAACAAAAGCTATGTAATTTTTGACTTTTTCAATTTGGATGTTTTTTCTAGATCTTTTCCACGCAGATTTAAATCTTTTTAGATATTTTTTGACACCGTTTTGGATCTTCTTTGTCAAAGAAAAGTGGCAACATTGGTCCTGGCCGCCATTATAGCATTTGTGTGAATTGGATCCTCGACTTTGTGTTGACAAATCAGTCAGTCTTCGACTTTGTGTTGACAAATCAGTCAGTCTTCGACTTTCATGTCAACAAATCAGTGAAATCATGTCAGAGGCGATGCAGCCGGGCGACGAATTCCACCAGAATGGTAACGAAGCACACACAGAAGAATCCACTGATCAACAAATGGCTGTTAATGGAGAGGAAGATGGAGATGACGATAGGTAAGTTGTTGCAGTTGAGTCTAGGAGCCCAAAACTACTCTCTCTTGAGTCAAGACTTCTGAAGGCTGTCACTAACCAGTCTTATCGGAAGTTTATCGGTCTGGATCTTCTTGGCATGTTATTGTTTGAGTTGTCTGCTTCTCCAGCCATGCATGCAAGTGTCGCTGTGAGTGTGACAGCTGCTATCTAGTTACTTTAGTCAAATTTTTAAAATGCCCTCTACACCAATAAAACCAGCACAGTTAGATAGCTGTAAACAATCTCTTTCCAATGGTACCTCATTTAGGCTTGTATGTCATTTCTGAGCTGAGACGCTGAGATGTGTAGGTTTTTGTGGAGATGAGATGTAAACAACAGCTGCTTGCTGCTAAAACTTGTCTCCCAGAAACAAGAAGTTTTTCTCTGCGCAACCAAACTGCGCAACTTTCGTTTTGGCTTTGTTTACATTGGACTGTCATTGGACAAGATGGCAGCCAATGACGAATGAGACACAGCCACATAATAGCGATTGCTTGAAAAATGTCACTGTAAATCTAACTAGCCACTGACAAGAAAGAAATTTTATACACAAATGTAAAGTTGGACGGAGAATTCATTTATAACTAGCATTACCATGTTTAGTAACAGTTAAAGCCTAAGCCAACCTTGAATACTAAACTGCTATTTTCAATCAAACTGATGTAACAGAAAAACAGAGGACGTCTGGCTGTCGTACACATGCGCTGTTAATCGGGTTCGTTCCCGCAGTTTTCAGCTATTTATACTGGTGAAAATCACACCAATCGCAAAATTTCATGAGAGATTAGGACCCATCCCGAAACCCCAGCCGACATTTCCGAAGCAAGTTTCAAACGGTTTCCAAGGTAACGGAAATTGCCAAAAAGATGGCAAATTTCCGAAACTGTAGTCGCTATGCTATCTGAGATCGCTATCATCATCATCATTCATTACAATAGAAGTTGTACTGAATTTCTTCTTGTACTGTCTGTGTGTTCAGACACCTGCACTGTGAATGCTCACCTAGCCACAAATCACTGAGCCATCTGTAATTAGGGATGCTAGTGAGTGAAGTTTTGGCACTCTTCCAAATACCAGTCCCATATTATTTACTGACAAAAAGGGACAGATGCTTGCAAAATTTGTTTTTAATTTCACAAATATAACCTTTACTCGCACAAGGGTAGTTGTGTGCAAATGTCACTGTGAGGTAGAAATAGGTGGTTAGGTTCCAGGAGATGACAAAAATCACCGGAAAGGGAGACAGCCTAGTTGAGCGAGCGATTAGTGGTCCCAGAAAGATTTTGCATTTCTGTACTGGTTACTATAAAAAACCCTGCCACTCTATCCTGGCTGTTCAGAAACAAACACAAACATGCATGACATTGGGGCTAAACTAGATGGCTAGGACCCACGAGCAGCAGCTTCCGCATCTCCTGAAGCTTTGCTCATGAGTTGTAACCATCTAGCTTAGCCCCAATCCACGCCGCGTGGTTGACTCGTGGTGGTGGCGGTAGTCGCCGGAGAACCGCAAATTAAGTCACGTGACTGTGGCTCGAAAGGATATTTTGTGGCCGCCATCTTTAGTGCCCGAAGTTCGGAGGATAGCCAAATATTTTATTAATTGGAACAGGGCTAATTAAATTTATGTTTTAACTCTTATTTTATGCTATCCACGATCTCTGTTAGAAATGTTGACAAGTTTTTCAAAAGTAAATTTTTTAGTTGAATTAGTATGGTAGAAACAAAATGGCGGACAACATGAATACAAAATCGTGTCTGTTGTACATTGATTGATAATGCTTATTATCTGGGCAAATAAGTGTTCAAAAAAATAATACAGTTTTAAATTGAAACACTAATTTATCTTTTTAGTTTTATTGCTTTGATAAAATATAAGTAGCTCAAAATATCATTATGATGAGTTTTCTGACACTGAATTGCTGAATAAATAAAGCTGCAGGAGATGCGGAAGCTGCTATTTGTGAGTCCCAGCCATCTGCCGGGACTACTGACACCGCCTAGAGCATCCCCCACGCCGCTCACTCTGCGCGGATTGGGGCTAAAGTAGATGACTAGGACTCACAAACAAAGCTGCAGGAGACGCGGAAGCTGCTATTTGTGAGTCCCAGCCATCTAGATTAGCCCCAATCTACGCCACATGAGCGGCGTGGGGAATACTCTCGGCGGTGGCGGTAGTCACCGGAAAACCGCAAATAAAGTCGCCGGAAGTGTGCAATTGACATGTGACTGAGACTCTGTTATGGTGTTTTTGCGGCCGCCATCATTGTGCCCGTTATTTAGAGGATAGCCACCTGGATTTTTAAAATGATGACCACTCAACAAATCCAGACAATATCTAAGTTAAAACTGGAGATTTGGGGGGGAGGGGTGGCGTTCAGTTTTGTTTTTTATCATAATTTAGTGTCTAAAATTTGTTTAGTCTTTTGTCTTACCCCTGTGCATTCTGGTATATATAATTAAAATATCCGAAGTTAATAAATAGTAGTTAATTTGTGTTGTCGATTGATTAAAAAAAAATAGCCCAAATGCCTAACAAGTATTATATTTAACCTATTTTTAAAAAAAAATCAGATTAAGCTTTTCTATTTCTAATTGTCTTCTATGAATGCCTGCCTACTGGCAACATTTTTCCTGATGCCCTCCCCGCTCAGAAAATTAACATCTTTCATCATAGACACATATCTTAAGCTTTCAAATATAAATTTAAAACTGTAATGTCAGATATATTATAATATATACTAGCCAGTAGACAGATCACATTGGACACAGATACTTAATAAAGTATAATGTTCTTTTTCCCCTTACCTTATGAAATGCTACTCCGTGAAAACATAACATAAATCTAAAGCCAATCAACAATGAACTTATATAATAATTTCACTCCATGAAACAGCAGTGAATCAAATCATGTACAGGTGGTTACCTTAATTATTCTGCACAAATAAATCAGATATCCAGAAGTCACTGTTTAAGAGCCATTCTGCAGAGAAATACAGAGCCATATGGAACCATTCACATTGCAATGAAGTCGATCAACTCAACTTTAACCTTTGGACATTTAACAATGGAATAAAGCAGTTTTCAGTCAGATGTACAAACACACACACACAAGCATTTTTCAAACAAATAAGAGTACATCATAACACAGAGAATCGTTACAAAAGCATCCATATTACAATGTACATCTTGCAAGAGTTAATGAAGGCAGGGCTTTGTGAAGCATGGGTACACACAGGCATTCAGTTGTGTTAGCAGGTTGGGATTGTATATATTTGAGCCACTTGCAGCTGGTGAAGCACGGGTACACACAGGCATTCAGTTGTGTTAGCAGGTTGGGATTGTATATATTTGAGCCACTTGCAGCTGGTGAAGCATGGGTACACACAGGCATTCAGTTGTGTTGACAGGTTGGGATTGTATATATTTGAGCCACTTGCAGCTGGTGAAGCACGGGTACACACAGGCATTTAGTTGTGATAGCAGGTTGGGATTGTATATATTTGAGCCACTTGCAGCTGGTGATGCACGGGTACACACAGGCATTCAGTTGTGTTGACAGGTTGGGGGTGTATATATTTGAGCTACTTGCAGCTGGTGAAGCATGGGTACACACAGGCATTCAGTTGTGTTGACAGTTTGGGAGTGTATATATTTGAGCCACTTGCAGCTGGGGAAGCATGGGTACACACAGGCATTCAGTTGTGTTGACAGTTTGGGAGTGTATATATTTGAGCCACTTGCAGCTGGGGAAGCATGGGTACACACAGGCATTCAGTTGTGTTGACAGGTTGGGGGTGTATATATTTGAGCTACTTGCAGCTGGTGAAGCATGGGTACACACAGGCATTCAGTTGTGTTGACAGTTTGGGAGTGTATATATTTGAGCCACTTGCAGCTGGGGAAGCATTGGTACACACAGGCATTCAGTTGTGTTGACAGTTTGGGAGTGTATATATTTGAGCCACTTGCAGCTGGGGAAGCATGGGTACACACAGGCATTCAGTTGTGTTGACAGTTTGGGAGTGTATATATTTGAGCCACTTGCAAGCATCCCAAGTTGTTTGGGAAATGTGAGGTCTGGCCACTGTTGGCGGGGGTGCCTGGTATTAAAGTCAGTCGCTTTTAGTTTATCTAAATATGTGGACATGTGTGCAAATTGTTCAAGTCCTATGGACTTAGTTGTGTGACAGAGTCAATATGTTTTATTCTGATGTACCCTGGAAAACTGTCCCAATGTGACTTTGCTTTAAGTCCTATGGATTTAGTTGTGTGACAGAGTCGATATGTTTTATTCTGTTGTACCCTGGAGAACTGTCTGAATGTGACTTTGCTTCAAGTCCTATGGATTTAGTTGTGAGACAGAGTCAATATGTTTTATTCTGTTCTACTCTGGAGAACTGTCCGAATTTGACTTTGCTTTAAGTCCTATGGATTTAGTTGTGTGACAGAGTCGATATGTTTTATTCTGTTGTACCCTGGAGAACTGTCCGAATGTGACTTTGCTTCAAGTCCTATGGATTTAGTTGTGTGACAGTTTCAATATGTTTTATTCTGTTGTACCCTGGAGAACTGTCCAAATGTGACTTTGCTTCAAGTCCTATGGACTTAGTTGTGTGACAGTTTCAATATGTTTTATTCTGTTGTACCCTGGATAACTGTCCGAATGTGACTTTACTTCAAGTCCTATGGATTTAGTTGTCTTACAGAGTCGATATGTTTTATTCTGTTGTACCCTGGAGAACTGTCCGAATGTGACTTTGCTTCAAGTCCTATTGATTTAGTTGTGTGACAGAGTCAATATGTTTTATTCTGTTGTACCCTGGAGAACTGTCCGAATGTGACTTTGCTTCAAGTCCTATGGATTTAGTTGTGTGACAGAGTCAATATGTTTTATTCTGTTGTACCCTGGAGAACTGTCCAAATGTGACTTTGCTGGATCATGAGTTGGACTGCAGAATTCTGTCAGTGATATTCTGTAATTAATGTACTTGTGTCGGCAATGTGTGTGGGGTTGGTAAAGTTGCGGCTGTGTGGTACACTGGTTGATAGGATGTCCTTAAGTACACAGAAGGTATTGGGGAGTTTCTGTTGTTGACCCATGTGGAGTTGTGATGGGGAGTGTAACAGAACTAGTATAAAGACTAAATGTCATTGTAGTTACATGTGTCTATGATGTACCCGCAGCTTCATTCAGGAGTTGTAACATAGGAAGGAATTGAACACCCGCTCATAGCCAGGGATTCGGAGTCTGCTGGTAAAAGCGACTGAGAAAGGACAAACCAGTGCGTGCAGTAGAGATGGCACAAAGACTGAATATATTAGAGATTAATTGTAGCTAACCTTCATTGTAGAGATGGCACAAAGACTGAACATATTAGAGATTAATTGTAGAGACGGCACCCAGTTTATTGTTTTAAAATACAAGATTTTTAACACCCTACCCAACCACTTTGCCTTTCAGGGACTTTAAGCCAGAGCATATTAGAGATCCATTGCAGTAACCTGATTGATTGTTTACAAGAAAAACATTGTAAACATCCTCCCAAATCACTTTTTTTTTTCTGGGTAGGCATTGGATATTTATGTCTTAACATATTTTGTTATGTGTTTTTTTTTAATCAACAGAAAAATTTTTGTTGGGGGCTTGAGCTGGGAAACAACAACAAGTAAGTGATCTAATTGATGTCCTGAGTTTAAGCCATGGTAGACAGTGGGTAGGGTTTGACACATTGTAGCCATGTTAGACACAGGGTAGGGTTTGACACATTGTAGCCATGTTAGACACAGGGTAGGGTTTGACACATTGTAGCCCTGTTAGAAACTGGGTAGGGTTTGACACATTGTAACCATGTTAGACACTGGGTAGGGTTTGACACATTGTAGCCATGTTAGACACTGGGTAGGGTTTGACACATTGTAGCCCTATTAGACACTGGGTAGGGTTTGACACATTGTAGCCCTGGTAGACACTGGGTAGGGTTTGACACATTGTAGCCCTGTTAGACACTGGGTAGGGTTTGACACATTGTAGCCCTGTTAGACACTGGGTAGGGTTTGACACATTGTAGCCCTGTTAGACACTGGGTAGGGTTTGACACATTGTAGCCATGGTAGACACTGGGTAGGGTTTGACACATTGTAGCCATGTTAGACACTGGGTAGGGTTTGACACATTGTAGCCATGTTAGACACAGGGTAGGGTTTGACACATTGTAGCCATGTTAGACACAGGGTAGGGTTTGACACATTGTAGCCATGTTAGACACAGGGTAGGGTTTGACTCATTGTAGCCATGTTAGACACTGGGTAGGGTTTGACACATTGTAGCCATGTTAGACACAGGGTAGGGTTTGACACATTGTAGCCATGTTAGACACTGGGTAGGGTTTGACACATTGTAGCCCTGTTAGAAACTAGGTAGGGTTTGACACATTGTAGCCCTGTTGAACACTGGGTAGGATTTGACACATTGTAGCCATGGTAGACACTGGGTAGGGTTTGACACATTGTAGCCCTGTTAGACGGTGTGCAGGGTTTGACACATTTTAGCAGTGTTTAGACTCAGGGTAGAGTTTAACTCATTGTAGCCCTGTTAGACATGGGAAAGGGTAGGATTTGATACAGTGTAGTGCCATTAGACACTGGAGAGGGTTTGACACATTGTAGTACTGATAGATCATCAGCTGAGGATGCAGGAATTCAAACAGAAATGCACAAGATACAAATAGATGTTTTATAAAGCCATTCTTACAGGATATCAAAGAACAACAAATGAAGTGGGTTAGACATCTAACAAGAATGCCCTCGTCTACTGTCTACCAGAACGAGCCACATTGAATCGTTTCAACTATAGGGTGAGGGTAAGACCTCATAAACCATGAAACAGCCTTACACACACAAAAAACATCGATCTTTATAGTGCTGTCGACAGAGCTCACCAACGAACGTTACATCTCCTCCCACACTTCACTGAGGTACAAGTTGTAAGAGAAGGAGAAGCTGTTAGACACTGCACATGGTTTCACATTGTTGACCCTATGAGACACGGGGTAGGGTTTGTTAGATACAGGGTAGGGTTTGTTAGATACAGGGTAGGGTTTGTTAGATACAGGGTAGGGTTTGTTAGACACAGGGTAGAGTTTGTTAGACACAGGGTAGGGTTTGTTAGACACAGGGTAGAGTTTGTTAGACACAGGGTAGGGTTTGTTAGACACAGGTTAGTTTTTGTTAGACACAGGGTAGGGTTTGTTAGACCCAGGGTAGAGTTTGTTAGACCCAGGGTAGAGTTTGTTAGACACAAGGTAGAGTTTGATGGTTTAAATCATTGTAGACCTGTTCGACACAAGGTAGGGTTTAATGGTTTAAATCATTGTTGAAATAATGGCATGCTGGATGTAGGTATATAAGGAACTGGAATCATTGTAGACAGAATAGCATGGTGTGTGTGTGTATATATAAGGAACAGGGGTCATTGTAGACAGAATAGCATGCTGTGTGTGTGTGTATATAAGGAACTGCAGTCATTGTAGACAGAATAGCATGCTGTGTGTGTGTGTATATAAGGAACAGGAATCATTGTAGACAGAATAGCATGGTGTGTGTGTATATATATAAGGAACAGGAATCATTGTAGACAGAATAGCATGCTGTGTGTGTGTGTGTGTATATATATATAAGGAACTGGAGTCATTGTAGACAGAATAGCATGCTGTGTGTGTGTGTGTGTATGTAAGGAACTGGAATCATTGTAGACAGAATAGCATGATGTGTGTGTATATAAGGAACTGGAATCATTGTAGACAGAATAGCATGCTGTGTGTGTGTATATAAGGAACTAGAATCATTGTAGACAGAATAGCATGCTGTATGTGTGTGTGTGTATGTAAGGAACTGGAATCATTGTAGACAGAATAGCATGATGTGTGTGTATATAAGGAACTGGAATCATTGTAGACAGAATAGCATGCTGTGTGTGTGTATATATAAGGAACTGGAATCATTGTAGACAGAATAGCATGCTGTGTGTGTGTATATATAAGGAACTGGAATCATTGTAGACAGAATAGCATGCTGTGTGTGTGTGTATAAGGAACTGGAATCATTGTAGACAGAATAGCATGCTGTGTGTGTGTGTATATATAAGGAACTGGAATCATTGTAGACATAATAGCATGCTGTGTGTGTATAAGGAACTGGAATCATTGTAGACAGAATAGCATGCTGTGTGTGTGTGTGTATAAGGAACTGGAATCATTGTAGACAGAATAGCATGGTGTGTGTGTGTGTGTATAAGAAAATGGAATCATTGTAGACAGAATTGCATGATGTATGTGTATTTGAAAATGAAATGGAATCATTGTAGACAGAAAGGCATGCTTTTTGTGTATATATGGAACTGGAATCATTGTAGACAGAATGGCATGATGTATGTGTTTTTGAAAATGAAATGGAATCACTGGAGACAGAAAGGCATGTTGTTTGAAAATATTACGAGATCAAATGTCAGGTGCATTTTATGATCTCAACGATATCTCTTGTGTTTTGTGTTTGTAGAAAATCTGCAGGAGTATTTTGAAAAGTATGGTGTAGTGACCAACTGCACATTGAAAACTGACTTGGAGACGAAGAAATCTCGAGGCTTTGGATTTGTGGTGTTTGCAGCAGCTGAGACACTAGACAAGGTGACAGTTTTATTGACTCTCACAGCATTCTATTCTAGGGTATTTGTTTGTTTGTCACTCTTGTTTTCATTTGGCTTGATATCAGTTTAGTTTTGTTAATTTGTGGCACTGTTTTCATATGGCTTAATATCAGTTTAGTTAGCTAATTTGTGACACTGTTTTCATATGGCTTGATATCAGTTTAGTTTGTTAATTTGTGACACTGTTTTCATATGGCTTGATATCAGTTTAGTTTGTTAATTTGTGACACTGTTTTCATATGGCTTGATATCAGTTTAGTTTGTTAATTTGTGACACTGTTTTCATATGGCTTGATATCAGTTTAGTTGTTAATTTGTGACACTGTTTTCATATGGCTTGATATCAGTTTAGTTTGTTAATTTGTGACACTGTTTTCATATGGCTTGATATCAGTTTAGTTTGTTAATTTGTGACACTGTTTTCATATGGCTTGATATCAGTTTAGTTTGTTAATTTGTGACACTGTTTTCATATGGCTTGATATCAGTTTAGTTTGTTAATTTGTGACACTGTTTTCATATGGCTTGATATCAGTTTAGTTTGTTAATTTGTGACACTGTTTTCATATGGCCTCATATCAGTTTAGTTAGTTAATTTGTCACACCGTTGTTGAGTTTTTCTGACTGTGCCAGTGTCTGCAGAATTTGAGCCCAAATCATATCCTAGACACTTGACCATATGTTAGTGTGCTGTCACCCCACATTAGCACACAACATGGCTGTAGATCAGTTTAGTGTATTCATCAGCAAGAGTGCCTGCACATGGCTGTAGATCAGTTTAGTTTATTCATCGGCAAGAGTGCCTGCACATGGCTGTAGATCAGTTTAGTTTATTCATCAGCAAGAGTGCCTGCACATGGCTGTAGATCAGTTTAGTTTATTCATCAGCAAGAGTGCCTGCACATGGCTGTAGATCAGTTTAGTGTATTCATCAGCAAGAGTGCCTGCACATGGCTGTAGATCAGTTTAGTGTATTCATCAGCAAGAGTGCCTGCACATGGCTGTAGATCAGTTTAGTGTATTCATCAGCAAGAGTGCCTGCACATGGCTGTAGATCAGTTTAGTGTATTCATCAGCAAGAGTGCCTGCACATGGCTGTAGATCAGTTTAGTGTATTCATCAGCAAGAGTGCCTGCACATGGCTGTAGATCAGTTTAGTTTATTCATCAGCAAGAGTGCCTGCACATGGCTGTAGATCAGTTTAGTTTATTCATCAGCAAGAGTGCCTGCACATGGCAGTAGATCAGTTTAGTTTATTAATCAGCAAGAGTGCCTGCACATGGCTTTAGATCAGTTTAGTGTATTCATCAGCAAGAGTGCCTGCACATGGCTGTAGATCAGTTTAGTTTATTCATCAGCAAGAGTGCCTGCACATGGCTGTAGATCAGTTTAGTTTTTTATCCCCCGTGTGGGTTCCGGGGCCCCATTGTGGGGAAAACAAGAATAGACCCGCTGCCTCCCCAAAAGCATGTCGTAAGAGTCGACTAATTGGGGAGCTTCCTTTGAAGTCTGAGTGCATCTGCCAGAGAGGCAAGGAACCAACAGTCTGTATTCAAGAGAATGAGATCTGTAAAACTGATGCACACGCAACACTCAGGTTCTGGAGCAGGACTGCAGTTCAGTACTGGACGAGCAACCAGAACCTTCCGCCAGAGTTTACAGCTGGTGAACGCAAAGAAGACGAAGTTTAGTTTATTTATCAGCAACAGTGCCTGCATATGGCTTTAGATGAGGTTTTGGAACACCTTGAGATGTAAATTTCTGCCTGTAAACCGCATTATTGATGTCATATGGGGCAGCAAGGTATGTCATTGATGAAATGTCTTGTTGTTGTCCAGGTGTTTGCAGAGAAGGAGCATACATTACATGGCAGGACAATAGATCCCAAACGTGCCAACCCCAGGCCAGTCAACAAAAAAGTGTTTGTGGGCAGGCTGGACCCAGCAGTGACAGAAGAGCAAGTGAAAGCTTACTTTGAATCATTCGGTCCAGTGAGTATTGTTGTTATTTGGAGAATAAGTAACCAGTGTGTCAGGTCATCCGTAGTTGTCTTAGATATGTGATGGCATTCACATTGTCATAGATATATGATGACATTCTCAGTGTCATAGATAGGTGATAAGTATGCACATAACTGTTGTTTAGAACATTGTTTCTGTTATTAAGGGTAAAGACGATGTTAGCATCATAAAACTAAATTGAACACTTTAATTTCTACCATTTGGTACTGTATAGAGTTTTATATTAAGGACTGCAAATCAGTAAAATACTGCCAAATTGACTGCACTTGAGGTTCCTTTGGAAACCAGGATAAACAACAACTATACTGGATTTCTTGAGATAGGTCTTACAACCATAGTTTTTTATGTACAGGCTCATTTTTGTGTATGTGGTGTACTTGTACATTCCTAACCAGTTTATTACGCAAATACAGAACAGTTACATGATATCACTGAAAATTCTCAATGAAATGAATGGCTTCGACAAGAAAATGACGTAGGTCTAGGCTTTTCACAGTCCAACCTGTGATCGATACTTTGGTTAACTCAGACTGTGAATACGTTCATGAAGAATGTGTCCCAGTTGAAGTGACACAGTCAGTGAGAGCAATAGTGAGGAGGAGAATTATGAAAATTATGGATTCTAAACTAGATCGATAGTAAGAGAAGGGGCCGTGTCCCTCAAACAGCAACTCTTGTGCTTACTTTATGAAACAAGACTGATCCTACTAGGTGGATTGGCACACAAAGGTAGAAGATTGGCACACAAAGGTGGAAGATTGGCACACAAAGCTGGAAGATTGGCACACAAAGCTGGAAGATTGGTACTACATGAAAGGTCAACCTATTTTCTACAATGTCTTCAAGTTTTATCTTATTCTAACCACTTGTTTGCGTGTAACTAATAATTTTGTACATCATGTTGGTTTTTTCGTGTTAATGGCCAGAAGCTCAGGTTATAGGGACAGTTAGGTTCAGGGCCTCAGGTCTGGTAGGATTAAATGATGGGATGCCAACTAGAACCACCAATATTAAGAATCTGATAGCCACGTGATCAGTTTCAGTCAGCGCTTATTGCGTATAGCCTATGCTAATGAATAAGGTCTTGTTTACGCCCATTGCAGTTTCCATAATTTTTGTAAGAGTCAGTGAAATAGTTGTAAATGGAGAACATGACATTCTACAATCTTGAAAACTGCTGAACAGTGCAGGAGAAATAATGATTGCAACTGTTCATAATACACACAGTTATCTCCATGTGTAAATAGCGTTGCTAAGTTTAGAAAAATCGCCAATTTCAAAACAAGTTTCAAAAAATAAATAATTTTACAAAGGTTAGCTTAGTAAAATATTAGCCATGTTGAACCATTTATGTGTCTTTAATCTGTGTAGTACTGTTGTTTGGACATTGTGTCTGTCATTAGTCTTGTAGAACTATTGTCTTTCATTAGCTCATGTAGAACCATTGTCTGTCATTAACCTGCACACAATCATTATATCTGTCATTAATCTGTGTAGTACTGTTGTTTGGACATTGTATCTGTCATTAGTCTTGTGGAACCATTGTCTTTCATTAGCTTGTGTAGAACCATTGTCTTTCATTAGCTCATGTAGAGCCATTGTAGAGCCATTGTCTTTATTTAGCTTGTGTAGAACCATTGTCTGTCATTAACCTGCACACAACCATTATATCTGTCATTAATCTGTGTAGTACTGTTGTTTGAAAATTTTGTCTGTCATTAATCTGTGTAGTACTGTTGTTTGAAAATTGTGTCTGTCATTAGTCTTGTAGAACCGTTGTCTGTCATTAGCTCGTGTAGAACCATTGTCTTTCATTAGCTCGTGTAGAACCATTGTCTGTCATTAGCTCGTGTAGAACCATTGTCTTTCATTAGCTCGTGTAGAACCATTGTCTGTCATTAGCTCGTGTAGAATCATTGTCTTTCTCATGTAGAACCATTGTCTGTCATTAGCTCGTGTAGAACCATTGTCTTTCATTAGCTCGTGTAGAACCATTGTCTGTCATTAACCTGCACACACCCATTATATCTGTCATTAATCTGTGTAGTACTGTTGTTTGGAAATTGTGTCTGTCATTAGTCTTGTTGAACCATTGTCTTTATTTAGCTCATGTAGAACCATTGTCTGTCATTAAACTTCACACAACCGTTATATCTGTCATTAGTCTTGTGGAACCATTGTCTGTCATTAGCTCGTGTAGAACCATTGTCTGTCATTAACCTACACACAACCATTATATCTGTCATTAATCTGTGTAGTACTTTTGTTTGGACATTGTGTCTGTCATTAGTCTTGTAGAACCATTGTCTTTCATTAACTCGTGTAGAGCCATTGTCTTTCATTAGCTCGTGTAGAACCATTGTCTGTCATTAACCTGCACGCAACCATTATATCTGTCATTAATCTGTGTAGTACTGTTGTTTGGAAATTGAGTCTGTCATTAGTCTTATGGAACCATTGTCTTTCATTAGCTCGTGTAGAACCATTGTCTGTCATTAACCTGCACGCAACCATTAAATCTGTCATTAATCTGTGTAGGACTGTTGTTTGGACATTGTCTCTGTCATTAGTCTTGTGGAACCATTGTCTTTCATTAGCTCATGTAGAACCATTGTCTGTCATTAACCTGCACACAACCATTATATCTGTCATTAATTTGTGTAGTACTGTTGTTTGGAAATTGTGTCTGTCATTAGTCTTGTGGAACCATTGTCTTTCATTAGCTTGTGTAGAACCATTGTCTTTCATTAGCTCGTGTAGAACCATTGTCTTTCATTAGCTTATGTTGAACCATTGTCTTTCATTAGCTCGTGTAGAACCATTGTTTTTCATTAGCTCGTGTAGAACCATTGTCTTTCTTTAGCTCCTGTAGAACCATTGTCTGTCATTAACCTGCACACAGCCATTGTATCTGTCATTAAACTGTGTAGAACTGTTGTTGGGACATTGTATCTGTTAGTCTGTGTGGAATTTAGAACAATTGTGCTTATCATTAGTTTGTTTAGAACCATTATATGTGTCATTAGTTTGTGTAAAACCACTGTTGTGGCATTGTATCAGTCTTTTTGTCTGTGTGTAGAACCATTACTGGAACATTGAGTCAGTCATTACTTGTGTGGAGTCATTAGTCTCCTTTGAACTCCTGTCATTATTCTGTGTAGAACCACTGTTGAGACATTTTGTTTGTCATTATTCTGTCTGAAACCATTGTTGAGACATTTTGTTTGTCATTAGTCTGTTAATTACTGTTGTTACATTGTGTATCTGATTAGTCTATAGAACTGATGTTGTGAAATTTTTTAACTTTACTACATGTGTCCACTCTCAGCTTGTTAACTTTACTACCTGTGTCCATTGTCAGCTTGTTAACTACATGTGTTCACTTTCACCTTGCTAACTCTACTACCTGTGTTAGGTTGTGAGTGCAGGGACAGGCCGGCTGGTGCTGCAGAATCAGAAGTTCAACAATGATTCATGACAATTTCAGCCCAACTGATGTGGTTATCTGTACAGATGGCTCTGTGTTGAGAGGCAAACAAAGTGCAGGGGGGTTCATAGCAAAAGTGAATGGACGCTGCAACAAAACCTGGTATAGGATATTATGTCTAGTTTGAGACTGGAGATGGAGGCAGTCACTGCTGCCTTCAGCTGGTTTGAGAATCAGCTGCACACGCTTGTTGATATTGTAACTGATTCACAGAGTGTGTTGAGAACAGTGGAGACTGGCATGCTCCATGTGGAGTGGCACGCACTGCTTTAGAGGTCCCGGGTGGTTAGTGTCATTTTCATATTTTCTTCAAGTCATGCTGGTGTGTTGGAAAATAGCAGGCAGATAGACTGACCGGTTCTGTACCACTTAGTGGTGAATTGATGTATGAAAGCTAGATGTTGTGAAGGCCCTTTGGTAGCGAGTGAATAGTGTAGAGGCACAAATGGATCATTACAGTCTGAGGAGAATGGCGCTGTGGGGAGATTGTGGGGGAATCTGGCCAACGCTCAACACTCAAGGGAAATGAGAGGGATCTACATTCAGACAGTTATCAGTACCATCGAAATTGGAACTCTTCACTTGCTGCTGAAAATGGGAACAGAGTGCTTATGGGAGTTTTCTGACTGCTGTGATGTTGATTCTTAATTCAGCCTTTAACTACATGTGTCCAGTGGTAGCTTGTTAACTCTCATTTATTCAATTTTCCATCTCTTTTTGGCTCTCCTCCAGATAATTGTGTTCATAAGTTTAATCTCCCCCCCCCCCCCCCTCTCTCTCTCTCTCTCTCTCTCTCTCTCTCCTTCTCTCTCTCTCTCTCTCTCTCTCTCTCTCTCTCTCTCTCTCTCTCTCTCTCTCTCTCTCACACACACATGTTAGAAATAGTTCTAATACAGTCATATTATCGATTGACACTTATAAAGTGATCACCAGTCAAATGTGATTTGTTCTTGCCGCAGGTGGAGAAGATTGATCTTCCATTTGACAAAACAAAGGAACAGAGAAGAGCTTTCTGTTTTGTTGAGTTCAAAAACGTTTCTGGCATGAAAAAATGCTTGGAACAAAGCACACACAAAATTGGAAAACAAGAGGTAAGTGTCCTGAGCTAATTGTGCAGAGTCTGTGGAATGAGATAGTTGAGTGTGAAATGAGCTGGTTGATGTATTGTTTCAAATGTTGTGCTTCAACCATAGTAGAGTGTCATTTGTTAATGCCATGCTAGTTACTGTAATGTAAGTCATTCAGTTGGAGCAGTCCTCATTGAACTGAGCTTAAAGAATATTGCTATTTATGTCTTTGTGATGTGAAAATGTAGCTGATTTTTTTTGCACTTCCCGCAGGAGCCAGGAAAGATGGAACAACGCTGCTGGGAGTGATGTGGGCCGTGAGGTACCATAAGCTCTAGTTTGCAATAAGTTGAAAATAATGATCAATATAAACGAAATAATCTTTCCTTTCTACAGTTGAAATTTACCCATGACATTAATGCAGTAATGAAATGTTAATTGACACTGTTGTCATATTTTCTGCCTTTTTTAATGTAACCAGTGTTTGTTCATTACTAGCACAACTGATTAATGTCCTTATTGATTCTGCTGTAAAATGTATAAAAGTATAATTTAATTGTAAAATAACATTAAGCAAAGAAATTTCTGTTTGATATCTGTCAGTGATATTTCTGCTATGTTTTTGCAGACATGGGACAGTTGTCAGAGATTGTTTGTTGACATTTTCTTGCACCAGCAGAAAACATTAATGATAAAACTGATTTCAGGATGTGTGTTATCAACACGTGTCCTGACAGTTCGTTTGGCCTTTTTATGGCCGTTTTTGCACTTACATCAAATCAAAAATGGTCTCATTGAGACTTGCTAGACCAGTTGCCTGGGTTGTCTACCCAACATTTGTAGTTCTTTAGAACCGTGAACACACTGGTGCAGATCAGCAGTCCCATGTCTGTTTTTCATGAATGAGAAATCTGATGTTGATTGTCTCATTTCTTATGTAGGTTGAGGTGAAGAAAGCCACACCTCCTGTTGGTGCCGCCAACCTGAGAGGTGCCCCCAGAGGTCGGGGCTTTGGTCCAGCTGTTAGAGGAGCTCGCGGAGGCCGAGGTAACCAGCTACCTGAAGTGTGTTTGGTGGCTGACAGCATCTCCAGTTTCTGATTAGGTTTAAGGTAGCCCTAGACTACAGGTTTCTTCAGCTTACATATTTATAAAGGCAGCTACAACATCTGATAGTGATACATTCATGATTGTCACGGTAGGGTTATAGGAGCCATTCCTCAACAACATATTTATGTAGGCAGGCGCATCTTAAAGTAATACATTCATGATCGTCACGGTAGGGTTAAAGGAGCCATTCCTCAACATATTTATGTAGGCAGGCGAATCTTAAAGTGATACATTCATGATTGTCACGGTAGGGTTAAAGGAGCCGTTCCTCAACAACAGATTTATGTAGGCAGGCGCATCTTAAAGTGACGCATTCATGATTGTCACGGTAGGGTTAAAGGAGCCGTTCATCCTCAAAACATCATATTTGATTGTCATGGTAGGGTTAAAGAAGCCATTCCTAAACAACATATTTATGTAGGCAGGCGCATCTTAAAGTGATACATTCATGATTGTCACGGTAGGGTTAAAGGAGCCGTTCCTCAACAACATATTTATGTAGGCAGGTACAACATCTTAAAGATTGATACATTCATGATTGTCACGGTAGGGTTAAAGGAGCCGTTCCTCAACAACATATTTATGTAGGCAGGTACATCTTAAAGTGATACATTCATGATTGTCACGGTAGGGTTAAAGAAGCCATTCCTAAACAACATATTTATGTAGGCAGGCACATCTTAAAGTGATACATTCATGATTGTCACGGTAGGGTTAAAGGAGCCGTTCCTCAACAACATATTTATGTAGGCAGGTACAACATCTTAAAGTGATACATTCATGATTGTCACGGTAGGGTTAAAGGAGCCATTCCTCAACAACATATTTATTTAGGCAGGCACATCTTAAAGTGATACATTCATGATTGTCACGGTAGGGTAAAAGGAGCCGTTCCTCAACAACATATTTATGTAGGCAGGTACAACATCTTATAGTAATATTCATGATTACTTCCGGCAGCTGTGTTCCCTAGAAGACAAACAGGCAATTCCTTGTACCTTAACATGGCATTATTGCCATTTTTTACAATTTGACAACATTCATGATTGTCATGTTTTACAATTTGCTCTCAGACAACATGATCATGTTTTACAATTTGCTCTCAGACAACATGTTCAAGTTTTACAATTTGCTCTCAGACAACATGGTACAATGTGCTCTCAGACAACATGATCATTGCTTACAGTTTTGCAGACAACATGGCCATTTTCACAATTTTTACAATTTGCTCTCAGACAACATGGTCATGTTTTACAATTTGCTCTCAGACAACATGGTCATGTTTTACAATTTGCTCTCAGACAACATGGCCATGTTTTACAGTTTGCTCTCAGACAACATGGCCATTTTTACAATTTGCTCTCAGACAACATGGCCATGTTTTACAATTTGCTCTCAGACAGATGGCCATGTTTTACAATTTGCTCTCAGACTTTACAATTTGCTCTCAGAAAACATGGCCATGTTTTACAATTTGCTCTCAGACAACATGTCATGTTTTACAATTTGCTCTCAGACAACATGGTCATGTTTTACAATTTTCTCTCAGACAACATGGTCATGTTTTACAATTTGCTCTCAGACAACATGGTCATATTTTACAATTTGCCCTCAGACAACATGGCCATGTTTTACAGTTTGCTGTCAGACAGCACACCCAGGCAGTGATGAATTAAATTAGTAATTCAGGCAGTGATCAGATTAACATTTTTCCCTCAGATGACATAACCAGGCAGTGGTGAGATAAACTGTTCCCTCAGATAACATACCCAGGCAGTGGTGAGATTAACTGTTCTCTCAGATAACATACCCAGGCAGTGGTGAGATAAACTGTTCCCTCAGATAACATACCCAGGCAGTGGTGAGATAAACTGTTCCCTCAGATAACATACCCAGGCAGCGGTGAGATAAACTGTTCCCTCAGATAACATACCCACGCATTGGTGAGATAAACTGTTCTCTCAGATGACATACCCAGGCAGTGGTGAGATAAACTGTTCTCTCAGATAACATACCCAGGCAGTGGTGAGATAAACTGTTCCCTCAGATAACATACCCAGGCAATGGTGAGATAAACTGTTCCCTCAGATAACATACCCAGGCAGTGGTGAGATAAACTTTTCCCTCAGATAACATACCCAGGCATTGGTGAGATAAACTGTTCTCTCAGATAGCATACCCAGGCAGTGGTGAGATAAACTGTTCCCTCAGATAACGTGCCCAGGCAATTGTGAGATAAACTGTTTCCTCAGACAGCATACCCAGGCAATGGTGAGATAAACTTTTCCCTCAGACAGATCCAGGAAGCGGTGAGAAAAACTTTTTCCTCAGATAACATACCCAGGCATTGATGAGATAAACTTTTCCCTCATACATACCCAGGCAGTGATGAGATCAACTTTTCCCTCATACATACCCAGGCAGTGATGAGATAAACTGTTCCCTCATACAGCATACCCAGGCAGTGATGAGATAAACTTTTCCCTCATACAGCATGCCCAGGCAGTGGTGAGATAAACTGTTCCCTCATACAGATCCAGGCAGTGGTGAGATAAACTGTTCCCTCATAAACATGCCCAGGCAGTGATGAGATAAACTTTTCCCTCATACATACCCAGGCAGTGATGAGATAAACTGTTCCCTCATACAGCATGCCCAGGCAGTGATGAGATAAACTGTTCCCTCATACAGCATGCCCAGGCAGTGATGAGATAAACTGTTCCCTCATACAGACCCAGGCAGTGATGAGATAAACTGTTCCCTCATACAGCATGCCCAGACAGTGATGAGATAAACTGTTCCCTCATACAGCATGCCCAGGCAGTGATGAGATAAAGTGTTCCCTCAAACATACCCAGGCAGTGATGAGATAAACTGTTCCCTCATACAGCATGCCCAGGCAGTGATGAGATAAACTGTTCCCTCATACAGCATGCCCATGCAGTGATGAGATAAACTGTTCCCTCAGACAGCATACCCAGGCAGTGATGAGGTAAACTGTTCCCTCAGATAGCATACCCAGGCAGTGATGAGATAAACTGTTCCCTCATACAGCATGCCCAGGCAGTGATGAGATAAAGTGTTCCCTCAAACATACCCAGGCAGTGATGAGATAAACTGTTCCCTCATACAGCATGCCCAGGCAGTGATGAGATAAACTGTTCCCTCATACAGCATGCCCATGCAGTGATGAGATAAACTGTTCCCTCAGACAGCATACCCAGGCAGTGATGAGGTAAACTGTTCCCTCAGATAGCATACCCAGGCAGTGATGAGATAAACTGTTCCCTCATACAGACCAAGGCAGTTGTGAGATAAACCGTTCCCTTAGACAGCATACCCAGATAGTGATGAGATAAACTGTTCCCTCATACAGACCCAGGCAGTGGTGAGATAAACTGTTCCCTCATACAGACCCAGGCAGTGGTGAGATAAACTGTTCCCTCATACAGACCCAAGCAGTGGTGAGATAAACTGTTCCCTCATACCGACCCAGGCAGTGGTGAGATCTGTTCCCTCATACCGACCCAGGCAGTGGTGAGATAAACTGTTCCCTCATACAGACCCAGGCAGTAGTGAGATAAACTGTTCCCTCATACAGACCCAGGCAGTAGTGAGATAAACTGTTCCCTCATACAGACCCAGGCAGTGGTGAGATAAACTCTTCCCTCATACAGACCCAGGCACTAGTGAGATAAACTGTTCCCTCATACAGACCCAGGCAGCGGTGAGATAAACTGTTCCCTCATACCGACCCAGGCAGTGGTGAGATAAACTGTTTCCTCATACAGACCCAGGCAGTGGTGAGATAAACTGTTCCCTTAGCATACCCAGGTAACGATGAGATAAACTGTTCCCTCATACATACCCAGGCAGTGGTGAGATAAACTGTTCCCTTAGACAGCATACCCAGGTAGCGATGAGATAAACTGTTCCCTCATACATACCCAGACAGTGGTGAGATTAACATTTTTCCCTCATACCGTATACTCTAGCGTGTAGTTTTGTGAGTGTGAGACACTCATGGTCTTCACCTGAATTAGTGTGTGTGTGCATGTGTGTGTGTGGTTGTTTTGGTTAGACACCTGTAATCTTCACCTTCACTTAATGTGTGTGTTCTAATGAGACAAAACACTTGTGATCTTCAACAGGTGGTTTCCAAGGTGGCTACAGCTATAACCAGGGCTATGGTGGATACCCTAGTTATGGAGGTTACGGTTACGACCAAGGTTACGGCTATGGAGGCTATGGCGGGGACTATTACAGTGGTTACGGCTACGGTGGCTGGAATGGTGGATATGATCAAGGTTATACATATGGTTATGGAGGTATGTACTTTACAGCTCTCTAGATTACGCTGTAGTGTGGCTGGAAGTCAGTGATATCGTTGTGTGGACTGTGTAACAGGAGGGCAGGCTGAATGTCAGTGATATCATTGTGTGAATTATATAACAGGTAGGCAGGCTGGAAGTCAATGATATCATTATATAAACTATATAACAGGTAGGCAGGCTTGAAGTCAATGATATTGTGTGAATGGTGTAACAGGTAGGCAGGCTGGAAGTCTATGATGTAATTGTATGAATTATATAACAGGTAGGCAGGCTGGAAGTCAATGATATCATTGTGTGAATGGTGTAACAGGTAGGCAGGCTGGAAGTCTATGATGTAATTGTATGAATTATATAACAGGTAGGCGGGCTGGAAGTCAATGATATCATTGTGTGAATAGGTAACAGGTAGGGAGGCTGAAAGTCAATGATGTAATTGTATGAATTATTTAACAGGTAGGCAGGCTGGAAGTCAATGATATCATTGTGTGAATGGTGTAACAGGTAGGCAGGCTGGAAGTCAATGATATCATTGTGTGAATGGTGTAACAGGTAGATAGGCTGTAAGTCTATGATATCATTTTGTGAATGGTATAACAGGTAGGCAGGCTGGAAGTCAATGATATCATTATGTGAATTATATAACAGGTAGGCAGGCTGTAAATCAATGATATCATTGTGTGAATGGTGTAACAGGTAGGCAGGCTGGAAGTCAATGATATCATTGTGTGAATGGTGTAACAGGAAGGCAGGCTGGAAGTCAATGATATCATTGTGTGAACAGTGTAACACTGGGGGGGGGGGCAGACTTGCATTTGAGTACTACCACTGTGCAGCTCTAAATATAATGCAGCCCTCTAACTGTTGCATGCTCACTGTAGTTTGAAATAATGCTGTCCCCTAAGTGTTGTATGCTCACTGTAGTTTGAAATAATGCTGTCCCCTAAGTGTTGCATGCTCACTGTAGTTTGAAATAATGCTGTCCCCTAAGTGTTGCATGCTCACTGTAGTTTGAAATAATGCTGTCCCCTAAGTGTTGCATGCTCACTGTAGTTTGAAATAATGCTGTCCTCTAAGTGTTGCATGCTCACTGTAGTTTGAAATAATGCTGTCCTCTAAGTGTTGCATGCTCACTGTAGTTTGAAATAATGCTGTCCTCTAAGTGTTGCATGCTCACTGTAGTTTGAAATAATGCTGTCCCCTAACTGTTGCATGCTCACTGTAGTTTGAAATAATGCTGTCCTCTAAGTGTTGCATGCTCACTGTAGTTTGAAATAATGCAGTCCCCTAACTGTTGCATGCTCACTGTAGTTTGAAATAATGCAGTCCCCTAAGTGTTGCATGCTCACTGTAGTTTGAAATAATGCTGTCCCCTAACTGTTGCATGCTCACTGTAGTTTGAAATAATGCAGTCCCCTAACTGTTGCATGCTCACTGTAGTTTGAAATAATGCAGTCCCCTATCTGTTGCATGCTCACTGTAGTTTGAAATAATGCTGTCCCCTAAGTGTTGCATGCTCACTGTAGTTTGAAATAATGCAGTCCCCTAACTGTTGCATGCTCACTGTAGTTTTAAATAATGCAGTCCCCTATCTGTTGCATGCTCACTGTAGTTTGAAATAATGCAGTCCCCTAACTGTTGCATGCTCACTGTAGTTTGAAATAATGCAGTCCCCTATCTGTTGCATGCTCACTGTAGTTTGAAATAATGCAGTCCCCTAACTGTTGCATGCTCACTGTAGTTTGAAATAATGCAGTCCCCTAACTGTTGCATGCTCACTGTAGTTTGAAATAATGCAGTCCCCTAACTGTTGCATGCTCACTGTAGTTTGAAATAATGCAGTCCCCTAACTGTTGCATGCTCATTGTAGTTTGAAATAATGCTGTCCCCTAAGTGTTGCATGCTCACTGTAGTTTGAAATAATGCTGTCCTCTAAGTGTTGCATGCTCACTGTAGTTTGAAATAATGCAGTCTCTCTAGGTGTTGCATGCTCACTGTAGTTTGAAATAATGCAGTCCTCTAAGTGTTGCATGCTCACTGTAGTTTGAAAAAATGCAGTCCCCTAACTGTTGCATGCTCACTGTAGTTTGAAATAATGCAGTCCCCTAACTGTTGCATGCTCACTGTAGTTTGAAATAATGCAGTCCTCTAAGTGTTGTATGCTCACTGTAGTTTGAAATAATGCAGTCCCCTAACTGTTGCATGCTCACTGTAGTTTGAAATAATGCAGTCTCTCTAACTGTTGCATGCTCACTGTAGTTTGAAATAATGCAGTCCCCTAACTGTTGCATGCTCACTGTAGTTTGAAATAATGCAGTCTCTCTAACTGTTGCATGCTCACTGTAGTTTGAAATAATGCAGTCCCCTAACTGTTGCATGCTCACTGTAGTTTGAAATAATGCAGTCCCCTAACTGTTGCATGCTCACTGTAGTTTGAAATAATGCAGTCTCTCTAAGTGTTGCATGCTCACTGTAGTTTGAAATAATGCAGTCCTCTAAGTGTTGCATGCTCACTGTAGTTTGAAATAATGCAGTCCCCTAACTGTTGCATGCTCACTGTAGTTTGAAATAATGCAGTCTCTCTAACTGTTGCATGCTCACTGTAGTTTGAAATAATGCAGTCCCCTAACTGTTGCATGCTCACTGTAGTTTGAAATAATGCAGTCCCCTATCTGTTGCATGCTCACTGTAGTTTGAAATAATGCAGTCTCTCTAAGTGTTGCATGCTCACTGTAGTTTGAAATAATGCAGTCTCTCTAAGTGTTATTCGCAAATAGTGTATGCAACAGTGCAGTCCCCTGTTATCTGCGAACACTGTATGATATAGTGCAATCCCCTAAATGATGTGTGTGAAAACTGCGAAAAAGTGCAGTCCCCTGCTATGTGCGAACACTACAAAATAGTGAAATCCCCTGTTATCGGCGAACACTACGACATAATGCCATTCGCTGTTAGATGCGAACATTGTATGAAATAATGCAGTCCCTTAACTGTAACATGTGAACACAGAACAAAATAGTGAAATCCCCATGATCTACTAAAGTTTGGATCTTCAAACATCACTACCCGGTTCTTACCAGACAACATAACAAACTTTCAGTAAGGCAGCCAATGTCTTTGAACTTTTAGCTAGGCAGCTGAAGTCAACAGTTGTCCAGGTTTAAACAGCAGAAAAACCAAGTACTTACATTTTAACTGGTGTATATCAAGTATATATCCACATACATCAAATATTTAATTAACGTCCACATATACTTCGAGTTTTCCAGTATTCACATGTGGATATATGAAACTAATCACTCAACATATCACCTGTAGTATATAGGGATTATTATAATATACACAATTTAATGTGCTCAAAATTAGTGAGTGAAGTTAGCCAGCTTTCTTTGATTGGATGATTTATCCAGCATGGATGTATGCTTGTGCACATTTCTATCATTGTTTACTTTAGAACAGCCCTGGCCACAGATACCAGCTATCTTATTGAAATAATAATGTAAACTGCATGAAACAGTATGCATTAGCAATCTTCTTGGGGATGTTTGCAGCTTATAAATATTGTTTCCAGCTCAGCTGACAAGCTTCCGCATAGTTGCATGTGCCACAAAAGTCAATCAACTTAAAAACTTTAAAGGATAATTCAAACCTCCACAGTCAAGCAGCTGTATGTAGTCTGTAAACATTGCACCTGAGTCAACATCACATGCTTAAGATCTGTCAACATGCAGATTATTAGGGACAAAACTAGCAGTATACACCAGTGACTCCTCTGAAACTTCCACAACCAATCATTGAGTCATTGGGGTTTCACTGAAACAAATGTTTCACTCTACAGTCTGAACAGCATCAGTAATATAAATATTGCCATTTTCACCTGCATTTCTGCTCAAAAATTCTGAGGTCACGGGTAGGAACATCTCTGTAAGTTTATGAGGACATACTAAGAAGTAGTGAGTAAACTTTTAGTTTCTTTTCTGCTTCTAAAACTCTCTGAACAGATACTAGATAGTTTGCTCCTGATAATTTTTAATATTCACCAAACTGAACTTTTGAGTTGTCAGTCTGCAGCTTTCCAAAAAGTATAAAACTGTCTTCTGAGGTTGCTGGTATTTTATTAAAGAAAGCATTGCAGTCACTGTGCAGCAGGGCACTGTGTGCAGCAGGGCACTGTGTGTTTCTTGGTCAGTTGTCCTAGACAGCCAGTCAGTCTGTCCACTTTCTTAGCCATTCAGCAAACTGTTCGAAATAATGTACTTGTTCAACATTATTTGACAATACAGGATTTGAGAATGAGTTCAGTGACTTCTTACCTACAAATTCACTTTTCACATTAACAACCTACCATCTAAGGATGCCCTCAATGAAATCTGCTATTTAATTGAGTTATATTCACTAAAAATTGCCAAAGCAAATTTGTTGTGTGTGAACATTGTACAGAATAGTGCAGTTCCCTTACTGTCATGTGCGAATATTGTAAAAAATCATACAATAACCTATTGTGTGCACACGTTGTAAGAAGTAGTGCAGTAGCCTAATAGTTGGGTGGGAACATTCTTCAAAATAATGCAGTCCTCTGACTGTTGTGTGAGAACATTGTAAGAAATAGTGCAATCGCCTAACCGCTATGGGCGAACATTGTATGAAATAGTATAATCCTCTAACTGTTGTGTGCGAACATTTTATGAAATAGTGCAATTCCTTTAAGTGTGGTGTGCACATATTGTATGAATTTGTGCAACCAACTTATGTTCACACATGTTATGAAATTGTGCAACCTCAAAACTTTTGTGTCTACAAATTATAGAAAAAAAGAGTGGCTTTCTTTAACGGTTGCATGCACATACTTTAGCAAATAGTGGAGTTTGTACAGATGGGCCATTAGCACTTTGCTGACCAACTTCAAAAATCTGTTTCAAAACCCTACACACATTTTTTTAATTTGTTTATGAATTTTATTTATTACAAAGCTAGTCATTTTAAAACAAATCACACCCTTGGTAGTGAGAGACAATAATGCCCCAGATTGCTGGTCAGCAAAGTGTAAATATAAATGTGTGGATGTTTGATGCACAGATGGATCATTAGTGTAAATGTATGGATGTTTGATGCACAGATGGATCATTACTATAACTGTGGATGTTTGATGCACAGATGGATCATTACTATAACTGTGGATGTTTGATGCACAGATGGATCATTACTATAACTGTGGATGTTTGATGCACAGATGGGTCATTGATGCACATGTTTGGATGTTTGATGTACAGATGGATCATTACTATAGCTGTGTGTGTTTGATGCAGTTAATAAAGTATTATTAATCTTCTGTAAAGGTTATGATGAATGGGGCTACCCACAGACAGGAGGTGAGTTTCTGTTGTGACAGTTTTGTCAGTGTGTTGGTTTAAAGAAACACTACGTCACTACTTATGTGTTGATCTCTCAATAAGTAAGAAAAACTTCCACAGGGAAGCATGTACAGCAGGAGTCTACCAATCAACAGTAGAAGTAATCTCTCGTCGACAAATATTTCAGCTTACGAGCTCGTAGACATTTTCAGAGAGTGGGCCCACCTGAGTTCATAAGGCTCAGGGTTGGTTTCTTCTGCTGCACGTATAACTGGATGTTATCGGACAGGGACAAGACGAATTGGTGACTTTGCAAAAGGTACTGTGATATATGAAGTCGTTGCGGTAGCATAATTAAAGCAGTCTGCTGATCTGGACGACCAAGTGGCAAGCTTACGTTTGGTTTACCGGACACATGTTGGACTTTGTTGTCTGCCAGTGTCCCTCTGCCACCTGCTAACAAAGTGGCAGACAATTCGGACACGATGGACTTCAAGGGATGAGAAATTCTTTTCAGCTGACACCCGGACCAGTTCACCGATTCCTGTCCCCTACGTTGTTTTGTTGTGTCCAGAGCCAGCTCGAGGCCTTCTCAGCAACCTCGCCCAGTTGTTTAAGTTTTCTTTTGCATTCATTTCCTCGTAGGCCTAGTTGTTTAATCACACTGTAAAGTGGAGTGGAAACGAGACCTCTTGCGCCTACCTTGATGGCGAAGATTCTTACTGTGTACACTTCGTCTCTCCTCAGACCAGCCGCAAAGTCACTGTATTTCTCGAGCTTATACATATGGCTTTCATCCATTCGCTACTCATACGGCATGGTCAGCTCAATCAGGATGAGCTGAGGTTTCTCCACAGAGTGGAGAACTATGTCAGGTCGCAGGCCAGTCATCCGGATTAACTCGGGGTACTTTTCATTACCAGGCAGGTCAACCGCCAGTAACCAGTCCATCGCACAGTCTAGCATCGATGGAGCCTAGGCGACTGTTGAATTTACCTTTATGAATCTGCCCAGCCTTAGGGAAGCGTAAGGGAATGACAATAGGACTGGCCCTCGCATTGGCCCTCATCCTAGCTTGGACCACAACAGCTAACTCTTTCAGCACCTTGTTGTGGCGCCAAAGATACCTGCCTTGACCTAGGGCTTTCCTGCACACGGACAATACACGCTCGAGTGTCTGCATAGTGTGCATGTCGGGTCGTTAGTCACACTCCACTTTACCATGTTGACACCTGACAGTAATACATCGTAGGCAGATCGAGCGATAAAGCTCAGTCGCAGCGGGGTCAATCGCCAGATCTCACCCCATGTGAGTACTCTTGGCAAGGCACTTTCCAGGCTGATCCAATGGCCCTGCTGTGACTGTTAGGCTGCTTTTTGAGCCCTAACCTCGTTTTCCCTGATCTGCTGTATCACCATGTCTCGGCGCTCTTTGGCTGTGGCTTTGGACCACCAACTGACTTTCCCATAACCTAGGCCTCGACGGTCGGTTTGAGTGTAACCCATAATTTTCCTTAATTTTAGTGCATTCTGGGCAGATTCGATCGCATCTATAGCTCTTCACTTGACACCAGTCCTTAGAGCGGGCTGGACAGCAGTGACATTTGGGTCTGCAGACTCACGCAAGAACATGGCAAGTCTTACTTTGCCGACTTTAAACTCTTCGGTTATTGATTTGAACAGGAGTACCAGCTTCGCCTGCTTACAATACAGAGCCACATCAGTCAGACAAGGTGGTGCTCCCAACCATTTCCTCATGGCTATGTTGATTTTTCGCTCCATCGTCTCCACTGCAGTCATCGTCACTTTGTAGACAAGCAGCGACCAGAGGAGCTTTGGAATCAACATAAATTGGAGACACCAGACCTTGAACTTTCCGATCAGCCTACTGCGCTCAATTGCGAGCAGGCCTGTAGCCAGTGACTCGTGTATACGCCCGTGGGGATCCGATTCCTTGCCACCGTAAAACTGATTCCCGCCACCTTACCTTTTAGGATTGACAGAATCCTCGACTTTTGCGGTTTGAATTGCATACCGTTCCATTGGACCACCTTATCCAATCTTTTCAGAATTGTACAGGCAGATTCCTCACTGCCTGTGATTATAGTCGTGTCATCCATAAATGCACATAGTGGCGGCATCCAGTGCTCCCCAATTTGAAGGCTTTGTCCGTATCCAGCCGCCCTGTCTAACATGACCTGCATGGCCATAACGAACAGTATTGGTGAGATCGTACACCCCATGGCTATCCCAACTTGGAGCTCAGTCTATCTCGTAGTAAACGTTGAGGTAGAGAAGCCCACAGCGAACTTAGAGAAATATTGCTCGATCATATCATTGATCTGTGTCTGTACAAGGAACATGCGAAGGGCCTGCCACAGTAGCCTATGGGGAACTGCCCCATAGGCGTTGGTGAGGTCCAACCATATCACGTGCAATGGAGTTCTCTCATGCTTGGTCCTATGGATAGACTCCCAGATCATGGTCGCATGTTCAAGGCACCCAGGGCGCCCGGGATTCCACCTTTCTGAACACTCGTATCGATGTACTTGTTCGCCATCAGATACTGTGTGAGCCGGCGAGCCATAACCGAGAAGAATATTTTGCCCTCAGCATTCAGCAGTGAGATAGGCCTGAATTGGGAAAGACTCTTCCAGTCCTGCTCTTTGGGAACAAAGACCCCGTTGGCCTGTTGCCACTCCGGACATATGTGTTTTCGACTCCACGCTAACCTCAGTAAGCGGTAAAGCAAACGTAGGACTTTCGGACAACGCTTGTACAAGACGTACAGCACACCATTCGGACCTGGTGCAGATTTGCCGCTAGCTCTCTTCACAACTTCCTCAACCTTAGACCAAGAGGGAGGTATATAATTCAATTGCTGGAAGTCATAGCAAATCTACCTGGGTTGTCCTTATCAAAGCTGATTTCACAGTATCATGCTTACCTACAAGTAGCTCAGTATTGTGCTTGTCTACAAGCAGTCCATTATTGGGAACCAATGATATGCTCACCTAATAGTCCATTATTGGGAACCAATGATATGCTCACCTAAAAGTAGTCCATTATTGGGAACCAGTGGTATGCTCACCTACATGTAGTCTATTATTGGGAACAAGTGGTATGCTCACCTACAAGTAGTCCATTATTGGGAACCAGTGGTATGCTCACCTAAAAGTAGTCCGTTATTTGGAACCAGTGGTATGCTCACCTACAAGTAGTCCATTATTGGAAACCAGCGGTATGCTCACCTACAAGTAGTCCATTGGGAACCAATGGTATGCTCACCTACATGTAGTCAATTATTGGGAACCAGTGATATACTCACCCACAGGTAGTCTGTTATTGGTAACCAGTAGTATGCTCACCTACAAGTAGTCCATTATTGGTAACCGGTGATGTGCTTGTCCTCACTCCAAAGAAATAGTGAAAATCATAACTTATTTCTTAACACAGCAAAAACAAAGATAATGCATACAAACAAAACTGCCATGGAGAAGGAAATACATGTTAATGAGGAAAGATTGGAAGTGGTGGAAAATTTCGAATATCTTGGGTCACTGGTTACCAACAATGGTGACACAATGAAAGAAATTAAACGGCGACTATCAATTGCTCTTCAAAGACTAAAACAACTGAATAAATTATGGAATTGTACAGATAGAATTACAAAGGTCAGATTTTTAAGAGCATGCATCTTTCCCATTGCCACATACGCCTGTGAGACCTGGACACTTACTAAACAAGCGGAACAGCGCATAAATGCATTTGAAAATAAATGTTACAGACAGGTTCTAAGAATATCTTGGGTAAAGAAAAGAACAAATGCATCCATACTTCAAGAGCTGAATATTGAAGAGGGTTGGCTAGTAAAGACAATAAAACAAAGAAAATTGAAATATTTTGGTCACTTGAAACGTCATGGAAGTCTAGAGAGAACAATAATGGAGGGGTATATGCCTGGGAAGAGAGGAAGAGGAAGGCCAAGGAGAAGATGGGTGCAGGAGATGGCAGATGATCTCCAGATGGGTGTATCAGACGCAGGACATCTTGCTCATGATAGGAAGGTTTTCCGGAGGGTTGTTATGGCAGCGAGGTTCCGCGAGGGATATGCTACTGAATGAATGAAGGAATGAATAGTATGATCGCCTACAGGTAGCCCATTATTGGGAACCAATAGTATGATCGCCTACAGGTAGACTGTACTCCTCTGTGGGATCTTTTATCTGTAACTAGCTGTAGCCTGTGTGCGTTGCTGCTCCATCTAAAAGGAATTGAATTTAAAGGAAACTTGCTATAACAGTATTTAATAATTATTTTGGATCATTGTCCTTTTGTTCGTTTTCTTGCGGAAAAACTTACAATTGAACGTTTCATTTTAATTCTGTTTTTTGAAGTCCTTTCGGATATACAATATTTTTTGTTTTTTCATCTGGTGCGTACATAGATAAATCAGAATGTTTTCTGGCGTGTGAAAAGGCCACATATAGCTGTCCATGGAAAAAGCATGGATTTTCCAAATGTAGTCCACACACTTGTAGCGATTGTCCTTGTGATTTGTGGATAGTCATTGCTAAGGCATGTCGCACTAGAAACTGCAAGCATTTAAATTCGAATGACATTTTTGTTGGAATCATTGGGATGCGTGGCAATAGTATATCTTCTCAATTAAATTTTTACCATTTATGCGATGAAGAATCATGTCACGCTAGATAAAGTCTTCACTAACCATAACTATCGCCACTTCTTCAATTGTTGGTGCATTGTACTTTCTTTCTTGTTGGATGACAGGTGTTTTGTAAGCTCTAAGTACAACTCTGAAGTCATAAGCTGATAATTGTTTAAGGGCATCTGAACAATCTAATTAATTTGTGTTGATCAATTAAATTTTGTAATGCAACGACTATTTCTCATTCTGTACCCTTATTGGATCGACAATGTTGATCAATTTGTTCATCAGTATTTCCTTAAAATAAATTTTTAGAAATTTGTAATCTGCGTTGATAAATATGGCCTTGCACTTTAAATGTGGACATGTAATTCTCGTGCACGATAATTGTTACACGAAATCTGGTAATCGTAATTTCAGCTTCATAGCAAACGGGTCACTCCATAGTTGCTCCTCTCCTGTGCGAACGAAAAACACACAACATGTTTATCACAGTCCCTTGTGGAAAGATTGACAGACTGTTGTCTCAGCATGTGCTAGCATACACGCGCATTAAAGCATACGGTAGCCATTGGAAGTGCCAACACAAACATTCCGACATTATAGATGCAGTTTATCATGGATGTTGCGCCAAATGATGTGTTTTGGAAAGTTGAATTGTACTTGTGTTTGCTAAGAAATTCTTTAATTGGCTTCTGTCGCCTGCTACCAATGTTGATAATGGTTCTGGTGTTGAATGTAATACTGGCTGTTTAACTTTTCCACCTGTGCAGCACATTCCCTATGTTTCATTCTTACATTTGACGGCACTGCAGTGCACTCACAATGAATCCCTTTTTTCCAATAACCAAATCTGGATGAAGACTGTTATCATAATTAGTATTGTAATGGAATGCACCTAGATTTCAATCAGTGTGCAGTGTTGGTCTGTATAGAGTAGTACGAATTCGTGTTCAAATGGTTTCCAGTCTTTCTTCCTGTTGTTTGATTGTTTCAGATAAACAGACTTGAGCAGTGCGTACTCGAGCGTTTTCCAGTCTTGCTTCCCGTTGCTTGTCTGTTTCTGAAGCTAGTAGTGCCTTTCTCTTGATGCTATAGGCATAGAGGGGCCAATCGCTTGTCGTTTGGGAGGCATCATTGCAAATGTCTGGAAAAACCAGGAACAGCACGTGGAAAATGCATGTGAACGTAGTGAGCGTTGATCGTCAATTGAAATTTTACAATAACTGCAGCTTGTTCAACCTCAAAGACAAAATGAAATATCCCTGTTATTGTTTTGCATGAGAAAATATTAGCATTCTATTAAATTTGATTGCACTCACGAGGAAATGCATAGAAACTGCGCGGAAAATGTTTTGAAAAGCCGGTAAACCGATTAACGATATTAATCAGCTTCCAGTCAAGCCACAAGGGTTGTGCTATTTATGTCCCATGTGACTGAAAAAATCTACTTTACTACAGACTAACTTCAGTTTCCCTGAGATGAAATTACATGTCAATTTCTTTCATTGTTTTGAATAACAGGAGAAAGCCACAGGGTTTGTAGCCATCTTGCAATCTCGCTAAAGCCTGAAAATTGTGGCCCTAACCTGAACCTTGCTTTTCACCATACTGACCTTGAAAAAGATAGCCACCTGCAATTTTGACCTATTTTGGCTACCTTTCTTTTTTTAATGTAGTTCCTGATGTGCCTGAACTTATTTCAGTAGATAAGCTGACACAGTCTATACAGTTGACTGCTGTCTGTCATTGGTCATAGGCTGGCATGTATTTGTTGACTGCTTGTTCAGCGACATAATGGTTCATTGTTCCTGTAATGTTTTTTGTTTGCATTTTTGTGTGTGTTGTCAAAGGAAATTGTTTTGGTGACACTCTCCATTTTCTTGACAGGTCAATCATATTATGGTAAAGTACAAAAGAAAGGTGCCAGTCATGGAGGCTATCATCCTTACAGTCGCTAGGCAGGGTAAATGTTTCCTTTGTTTGTTTGTGTAATTACCACTGAATTCTGGGTCTCTGGTGAGTTGTGAGGAGTTGAAGTTCTTGTTTCATCAGTTTTCTTGTTAGGGACTGTCATGTCAGTTGAGCCTGTTGATCATCTATATATTTCCAAGTTGACCTCTAGTTCTGTCTGGCAGCTGGTTTCACTCGGACAAATCTTGACTGAAGGAAGGCATGCTTGGTAGACTGTCAATTATTGAACTGGGAAGTCTTATTTTTAGTATAACTTCAGCAGAAAATCCTGGTTGTTTGTCTACTTCTGGACTGTATAGTCTTGATCCAGAACTTGAGTTGTGCATACCCACAGCATGCAATCACAGATCTGATGTATTTGTATGCAGACTGTTGGCTCCTCATCTCTCAGGTAGATGCATGGCCACTTTAAAGAAAACAACCCTAGTTAGTTTACTTTTATGACACGCTTGTTAAGAGGAAAAAAGGGGGGGGGGGGATTGTTCAGTCCCAGCCCCCCCCCCCTCCCCCCCTAAAAAAACACAGAACAGGGCCCCAAAACCAGTCGTAGAACTAGGTCTTGGACTGTCAGTGTTGGTAACTGTCAGTGTCACAGGCTGAACATTTGCATCATGTCATGGGCCATTGCTACATTGTTGCCTCATTGAAATTTTTAACAAATCTACACTTGTACATAGATGATTTGTTCTTGATATGTGATGTGTATTTTCTCTTTGTTTGCAGGCTATTAGAGAGTGAAGGAATCTTTTAAAGAATGAAGGCAGCGGATGAATCTGTTATGAGTGTAGGCAGTGGACAAATATTTGATGTGTGGAAGCAGTAAATGATTCTTTACAAAGTGGATGTAGTGGCCGAATGAATTTTTATTATGTAATTTTTTTGTTTTTGGGTTGTATATTAAAATGTCATTAAAAAAGATCACATTCATGGTTTTTATTTTGTAACTATGTTAGTTTGATGTACTCTAATGATTAAACTGATTTACTATCCTAAATTTAAAGATCAATAGGATCTACTTCATTGCGCAGGGTTTTATCCCATATGGCTCGGTCTCTCTCCGCAGAACGGCTAGCTACTTACCAAGAGCACTGCACAGTGCATGAACTATAAAGCTCAGCCGGGATTCAACTCATGACCTTCAGAGCACCAGGCAAACAGCTTGACCACTAGGACCCCTGACCTAGTTGTGCTCTGGTTTATACTGATTTACTGTCCTAGTTGTGCTCTGGTTTATACTGATTTAATGACCTAGTTGATGTGCCCTTATGTTTATACTTTTTTTTTTGAGTGATAGTTATGTTATCCCAGTTGTGTTAGCAGAGAGAGATTAACAACACAGAGTGCCACATTACATTTATCAAGCATAGATTTTAGAATGGGCCACAAGATATCCACCATTACAAAGATAGAAAACATCATTTCCACCATATAGAAAACAGTACAAGATTTCCACCCTCACCAATATAGCAAACCGTGACATCAGAGCCAGGAGGCCAACTTCCTTCATCGACCAGTGTGTAGATTTACAGCTATCTTTGGGTGCTTCGTGTGTTGTGTACACAGCCTTCTTTGACTGTTTTGTGAATTTTGATTATTAAAAATACCTAGAAAGTGTTGTTTTAGTGAATGGCTGTCAATGGATAATCTACAGGATTTGTAAACGTTCCAGTGTCAGATTACAGCAGAATTTAAAGATGTTAGATACAGACTGGAAAATGTATGCTGCCACAGGAGGTACATCATGTCTTGTATTGTACACTCTCAGTGTGAAAGCAGATACTGCACCAAACACTCTCAGTGTGAAAGCAGATACTGCACCAAACACTCTCAACGTGAAAGCAGATACTGCACCAAACACACTCAGTGTGAAAGCAGATACTGCACCAACAATATCCTTGCCTGTAAAAGTCTTACCAAATGTGAGTAGAAGTTTTTATGGAAAATCAATGGGTTACTTGTGTCAAGATCTTGACTGGATTGTTACTAAAAGTAAATTGGAAATAGGGTCACAGCTAGAAAATCTGCTGATTCATGACAATGAAACTCGCCATGAAACATCTCTGAAAGATAGCAGTTTATTAGAAGAAGCATGCAGTAACTCAGATATTGCTAGAGACTTGGTGTAACCACCAGAGAAGCATGCAGTAACTCAGATATTGCTAGAGACTTGGTGTAACGACCAGAGGACACTAATGTACAGACAACTAAAAAGCAATTAATTTTTTAATCACAGAGCAGCTGCAATTGATTAATAAGAAGAGCAACTATGCCAGACCCTACAGTAGTTGTACATTGTATTTTCCTTTTATGGTTTTCATCAAATCTGCATGCTACAAATTATGTCCCCCCATAAACAAGTTTAACTTCATCTTGTGCACTGTCTAACAATGATGGCAGCATTTCTGGCTACTTAAAATTTAAAGAATGCAGGCATAATGATTTGGAAAAGATTGTAGCGGTGCAAATGGATTAAATCAGCTGTAGCATTCTCAGGAGTATGGTTAACGCAGTCACCTTCATCTTGTAAAGGTCACTCGCAGCTATCACAGTGCAGATTGTGACACAGATCACTCCCTTGTGTGCAGCAAAGCGAAGTTAATCCCAAGCAGAATACATCGGGCAAAGAGGCCAGGACGGCCCCGCATTGACACAGGAAAAAGTAGTAATCCAGGAAAAGTAGGAGAATTTATAAAAATCCTGAGCACAGCTCTGCCTGGCCCACCAAACGCGGATGCTAGTGACAGATGGAAACATCTAAAACACGCCGTATATGATTCTGCCATGTCCGTGTTCGGTAAGAGGCAAGTTAAATCACTGGACTGGTTTGAGGAACACAAGGAAGAAATGTTGCCAATAATAGAGGAGAAGAAAAAGGCTTTATTGGGATATAAAATCCAGCCGAATATCAGAAATCTGCAAGTGCTCAGGTCCATTCGGTCTAGAGCCCAGAAAACTGCACGGCGCTGCGCTAATGATTACTGGATCAAACTTTGTGAGAGGATACAAACCTCAGCAGCTACTGGCAACATAAGGGAAATGTATGCTGGCATCAAGAAGGCTATTGGGCCAGTAAAAAGAAAGTTTGCCCCTCTCAAATCAACCACGGGCGAAATCATAAAGGATCGGACAAGGCTGCTGGACCGTTGGGTGGAGCACTACTCAGAGCTATATGCTACAAGCACCTTTGTATGTGAAGAGCGCCTTAAATGCAATGGAGGGTCTGCCAACCATGGGTGAACTAGACACGGAACCCTCCGTCACAGAAATCGGTGAGGCAGTAGATGGGCTTCCTTCAGGGAAGGCCCCAGGAGAGGATGGTATCCCACCTGAGATCCTAAAATGCTCCAAGGATGCTATTCTTCCTGAGCTACACAAGATCCTCTGTCAGTGTTGGCAAGAAAAATCGGTGCCACAGGATATGAGAGATGCCAACATTATAACTTTCTATAAAAATAAAGGAGGTAGAAGCGACTGCAACAACTATCGCGGTATCTCTCTATTGAATTATGTGGGAAAAGTCTTTGCTCGTGTTATCCTAAAGAGGTTGCAAATTCTAGCGGACAGAGTATACCCGGAATCACAGTGTGGGTTTAGGGCCAAGAGATCAACAGTTGATATGATATCTGGCAGCTACAAGAAAAGTGCAGAGAGCAACAGAGGCCACTGCTCATTGCTTTCATAGATCTCACTAAGGCCTTTGACTATGTCAGCAGAGATGGTCTATTCGGGATCCTTGAAAAATATGGATGCCCACCTATACTACTGAGCTTAATCAAATCCTTTCATGAGAATATGAGGGGGACCATAATATATGAGGATTCATCATCTCGACCCTTCCAGATTCGAAATGGAGTAAAGCAAGGATGTGTTCTGGCTCCCACGCTGTTTGGCATCTTTTTTACCGCATTATTGAGGCGTGCATTTGGGACAGCAACTAAGGGGATATACCTCTGTTCGAGGTCAGATGGCAATCTTTTTAATCTGTCCAGGCTACGTGCAAGGACAAAGGTGCATACGAGATGCCTCAGGGATTTTCTGTTTGTGGATGATGCAGCCATTGTGGCACATTCAGAGGATGATCTGCAGATCCTGATGAATCGCTTTGCAAATGCTTGCAAAGAATTTGGGCTTACCATCAGTCTGAACAAAACACAAGTGATGGGATTGAATGTTGGAATCCACCAAAGATTAGTGTGTATGACCATCAGCTGCTGGCTGTAAATGAGTTTGAGTACCTAGGCTCACGTATCTCAAGCAATAATTCTCTGGATGCAGAACTAAACAAACGTATAAGAAAGGCCTCTGCTATGTTTGCAAATCTCACAAAGAGAGTCTGGTCAAACAAAAAGCTAACTGATAATACAAAAATGAAGGTTTATGAGTCTTGTGTCCTGAGCACATTACTGTACGGCTGTGAATCCTGGACTCTCTATGCTCCACAGGAAAAAAGACTGAATACCTTCCATATGCGCTGTCTGAGACGCATCCTTGGTATATTATGGCGAGACCTTGTCTCCAACGAATGTGTGCTGACAAGAGCAAAAATACCATCAATGTATTGTATACTGAAGCAAAGACGTCTGCGCTGGCTGGGACATGTCTCCCGCATGGAGGATGGTCGTATTCCAAAAGATCTCCTATATGGTGAATTGGTAACTGGGAATAGACCTACAGGAAGGTCAAAGCTGCGCTATAAAGATGTATGCAAACGTGACCTAATAGATACCAACATAGGCACAGAGACATGGGAAAAATCAGCTGCAGATTGACTACTATGGAGACAGAAAGTTAAAGATAGACTGTCACATTTTGAAAGAAACCGAACACAACGAGCTGTGGAGAGGAGGCACCGGAGAGTAAAACTGCCTCACAACGAGAGAGTATCTGCTTTTGTGTGTATCCTGTGTGGCAAAGACTGCCATTCCCGCATTGGACTTTACAGTCACAGCAGATGCTGTTCCCAAAGCCAGCGGCACATCTCCATAGT